TCAGATGGGCTTCGAGCTGTTAAGGAACAAAAAAGGTGCCCAATTGTTTATTTTTTTGGTACAAGCATGAAACTTTGCCAGATTCTTAACATCCCTTGGACCAACATTTGTGGATAAGGAAGCTGAGATAAATACTGCGTATGTCACAAAACGGCTCATATGTAAACAAGGCTATCAGCTAAATTACTGCTTAAAAGTTACACAATGCACCTTTTAAAAGTAATTTTTCAACCAGAAATATGTAGGGGAAAAATATATATTAGTTTAATTGAATTTCGTGTGGTAGCTCAAATTCTGGTGCAGTTACTTTTTCATTTGATGGCATTCAGAATACAGTTACTTTCTCAAACTGAAGGGAATACATGCCAGTACTTTATCGTGTAATAAAAGCACAATATTAGTTTATTTGAATCTCTTATGATAACTCAAACTATGAGAGAAAGCCAATAATCTTTGGGGTTTGGGGTTAAGCGCCGCTTCCATGCAGCATTTAATTATCATTTTGAACTATGATATGACACTTGCAGATCTTTAGAGATGGTTAAATGTTTTTTGTCATCAAAAACCCAATAAATATGGATTTAAAAGATAAAATATTGTATTAACTTGGATTTCAACCACAGAGAACCAACACAACTCTTCCATTCTCGAGTAAAACGGTCACGTCACTTCCTTAATGCTTTGGAGTTCAGAAAAAAATACATAAATAAAATAATAATAAATAATTGTTCAACATTACAAAATTGATAATTAGGCAAATTAGACAATAAGAAATAGATTATGCAGTGTTTTTTATGCCAGCCTCATTTTCATGTAGTCCATTTTGTGACATGTGCAGTTCTCAGCTCCAGTGTTACATTAGACTCCAGAAATATTAGTCCTGGGGCTGTTACTAATCTAGCAAAGTTTCATGCTTGTACCATAAAAGTGAACTCTTTTGGTCCTTCACAGCTCCATGGTCTGGACTGAAACAGAATCCTCAGAGTCCAGTGAATTCTACTCAGAAACTTGCAATTTTATAACAACAAAATCAATACATTTACATATTCATTAAGATATATATTTTTTTAAATTCTTTGGTAAGTTGCCATAAACAAACTGGAAGATTAAAAAAACAACAACATTTAAAATAAAAAAGGAAGACTTTTTTTTTTTTGATAATTTTCTATTTAAACACAAAATCATTTTTACGTCCAATTTCCATCACGGACATTTATCTAGAAACTTAGATACATATGCATACATCATTATATATAAAAAAAACCAAAAACAAAACATAAAACCAAGCATGACATAAAAAAGAAAATATAAGAAAACACATTTATTTAGTTAAAATTATGTTTAAAGAATCAAAAAAAAAAAAAAAAAAAAAAAAAAGCTTCTTGTAAATACTGTAAAATTTATGGTCAGAATTCAGTGTGATGTCATTAATATGTTTAAGAACTCTACTTCCAGTCATTTTCAACACATTTTAACCTCGACTGGTGTAAAACTATAATTCATATTTACAAAATTAAGTCAAAAATTTGAGAATCATCAAAACCTGCACTTTAAATTTTTTTGCCCAGAATAAAAAACGTGAAACACAGCGGCAGTCTGATGCGCTGTCTTCGTTCTCCGGGAACTTTTTCTCCGTCACCACATAAATCTGGGAGGAGGAGGGACCAGGACCCAGAGTTGGAGTGGATCTGTCCTTCACCGTGGTTGTTCTCCAGGTTTCTGTTTTGTTCACTGGGTTTTTGTCGCTGAAGGAGAGTCTAAGGACAGGGGGCGCTCTGGGACAGTTCATTTGTTTGTTTTCTGTGAATGTTGGTTAATCTGCTGTTGTCTGTTACGCTGTTTGATATTCTAACTTTCTTGTCTTATTTGGGAATTTAACCGGTGCAGGTTTGAGTTCAGGGGCAGGTTAGAGACTCAAAGTGATCGAGCTTCGTAGTGCCGCTAAACCAGAGTTAAAACATTTTATAAACAAAGTGTTGATTAAAGTTGTAAGTAAAAATAAAAATAAAACTCAGCCTCTCTCTTTTGGTTGTGTCACCGTTTGTTTATCTGACTTTACCTTAACTCCTGTAAAGCCCATGAAATATTGGGTTGTTCATTTTAAAATTAAAAACCCAATTTTGAACGGGCAAAACTTTTAAATTTTGCAAAGTAGTTTGCCCCAGACTTGTTCTTCTCGTCCATCCGGTCTCTCATTTTCTCCAGTATCTGCACCTTCTCTTTGTCTCTCGTCTCTTTCATTTTCTCAATCAGAAACTCCAGATGGATGAAAGTGGTGACTGCATCTTCGTTCAGAGCGATTCCCTCCAGCTGCACAATGATGTTGAAGGCCTCATTAAGCAACTCTTTTTTCTTTTGTTCAAGCTCAGACATTTCCGTCTCCAGATGCTGCAGCAGACTGGTCTTCTTCTCACTCGCAGCTTTGTTCTTTTCAAACTTCGCCTTCATTTCTTCTTTGGTCCTTTCCACTCTTCTGGTCTTTGTCACATATTTCCAGTTTTCTTTCACATGATCGTCTGCTGGACACTTCCCAGAACAGGAAGTACATTTCTCGTCTTTCATGACCTCACACCAGCTTGGACTCCAGGCCCAGGTGCATCCTGGGTAATGACAGTTCTCTTCACAGTTATTACAGGTGACAGCTTTGTTGTCCCACCAGGCGTCTATTTCCTCTTTCACTTTGTAGGTTTCTTCTATGTTAACTTTAAAATGTTTGTTCTCTTTTTGAAGTCGTGAAAGTTCCTCTCTGTTCTTTCTGATTGCCTTCTGTTTCATTTCCGTCTCTGTCACTCGTTCCTTTAGGTTCTGGATGCAGGCCGTGAGTCTGTTCCTCTCTTTAATCACCTTCATTGTCGACTTCAGAGACTGAGGTTTTGTTGTTTCCAGAAACTTTGTGAACTTCTCCATTCCCTTGTTTGAAGTTGTAAATGCATGTTTTGCATCTTCCTCTTCATCATCACTGTCATCTTCAATCTTGTCTTTTTGACGGTTGTTGAACTTGAAATACACTCGTTCATTTTTTGAGTCTCTGGCACAAAGAATCTTTGCATCTTCCAGAGCTCTGAGAGCATCTTTAGGTTTTCCTCCACCTGAGTGAGTCATCATCACCACAATGTTCTGCTCCATGTCTTTGCTGAACATTGAAGTGACAGAGTTAAAGATGTAGGCCATCCTCTCGTCCAGTCTGTTCACTGAGGCCTTCATGACCAAACCCACAGCATTGACTGTGTCCACTCCCTCAGGGATACAGAACAGGTCTTTCAGTTTTTTTGTGACCATATCATCATGTTCTAATCCTCTGGTGTCTCCGTATCCTGGAGTGTCGATGATGGTCAGTGAATAAGGGACAGTTTTTCCCTCGAATCCATAGATGTCGTAAACAGACACAGCAGAGGTCTGACTCTCAGACTGAGGTCTGTCCTTCTCATCTGAGATGATCTCAAACCAGACTTTGTCTTCAAACTCCACCCCCATCACAAAGTTGACCAGAGCGTTGATCAGAGTGGACTTCCCTGAGCCTGTCTCTCCCACCAGGAGGATGGTCTTGTTCAGATGCCGTGGATCATATTTTCCAAGAGTAAATCTCCTCAGTTTAGATTCTTCATTTGATTCTTTGTCCAGATTTACTCTTTTCAGCTGCAGCTGGTATTGTGCAGGAGGTCCGTTGTCTATCTTCTTGCTTTCTTCAATTTGCTTTCTAAAATTTGAAGCCATATTTGTCCTAGAGGGAAAGAGAAAACACAATTTAGTTAATGTGGTGTCAGAAAGTTTTCATCTGTAAATAGTTATTTTATTTTATAGTGTCTGTGGATGACATTAGTGATGTCACTTCTTTCTTCACTTGTTTTGTCTCTGTGTGTTGTTCTATGTGTGTGTGCGTCCAACCAGTGAGTAGTTGTGTGTTTTTATGTTATATTTGTACATATGAGTGCATCTGTTCAGTTCAGCAGCTCTTAATTATCCACATGTTATGAGAGTGTTACAACCTGTACGTTTGTCACTGTGTTTTGTTTTTATCTCTTGTCTTTCATGTTTTATGTTTTACTTGGTCTCCATCCCATCCCCACTGTGTAACCCGATGCCGATTAAGTTTAGAAAAGCACACGGTGGCTGTACTCATGCAGTTGCATCATTAATGTTATAGAGGGCGCCAAAGACCACATCACCAGGCAAATGTCACTGTTTTTGTTTCCCAATAAAGAGTGCAGCTATAATATTGTTATGTCAGTTGTTTATACTTACCTTCATACTTTGTATACTTTATATTGAAATTCTAATATTGTGTTTTTTTGTATCTTTTGTTCTTGTTTTAGACCATACACACCCACTGCCATAAAGCCCCTGTAACTCCAAAATATTCAATAAAGTTCCCTGGTGTACCAGACCTCTCTGTGCCCACTCTGACCAGAGCTCATGTTGCAGATTTCTATCAGATCAGCACACACCAGAGTGTCCCACTCTGCCACTTGAAGCAATCAACTAAGTTTGTTTGTTTCAAACATCACTCTGCCCACAGAGTGCAGGGTTCATGCTGCAGAGACATGTCAAATAATGACAAGGGTATTATATTTGACTCAGATATCTCAGATGCACTGTTTTTGTGTTAGATGTACACAGTGGCGGATGGTCAATAGGGGCGCAAGAGCGCCGCACTCCCTAACTTGACCTAGATAAAAAAAGAAGAAAAAAAATTATGTTTATGTATTGTGTTTAATATTTTGCTTAAAATGTAATGTGTATCTGCATAGATATATTTTTATCACGTTAAATGTGCTCATATCACTTTATTTGAGTCATGTGTTTGGAATTTGAGTGCGGAGAGTCGGAGCAACCTGATGGAAGAGCCTGAAGTTTTGAGAAAATTTGACATCATTTTGTTGCTTTTGCCCATGACTTTACATTAAACATGAACACACATGTGGATCTATTGTGGTTCAGCTGCTCTGTCACTCAGCCCCGACTCTGCACTGACACATGTTACTGCTACAGGCGCTAATGATGACAACAACAGAGCTGTGTGCTGTACTGTTATGGAGAGTTCATACAAGTACGTCCTAGGAACAGTTTTAGGGAGTAAGAACAAAAAAAGAAGCATTAAGATGGAATGAGCTTTTGGCTGCGATGAGATACTACGGCTCTGATTCTGATTCGCACACTGGCTAATGGCAGCAAGCTGTTAGCTTAAACATCTCCACAGTAAAGCGCAAGGAGAGACCCGCCGCTGGGACCCACGCGCCGCCGGGACCAGGGCCCACGCGCCGCCGGAGCCTGTCGCAGCCAGGACCCAGTCACTGCCTGGGATGGGGCAGTCGCTCGCTGCTCTGTCCGCCTCTGCCCGCGTGTTTCTCGGTGTAAAAGTTTCACCGGGCGTAGTGCACAGAGGACATGAGTCCACCTGGTGCCCTGGTGCTAATATGGACTGGTGTAACTGTCAGATTTAAGTGTGAAGTGAGATTAAGACAATTTTACAATCAGCTTGTCCACTCTGCTCTTGGACCTCTTGTCACGGACCTGACTACTGTACCGGGATTTGGACCAGTTTGATCTCTTCATAGTGGACAATAAACTTTTGGAGACAAAACCAGTGGGACAGTGGACAGAGGAAACACTCTGCTTCAGTCTCTGGAGAAGGTAAGAGGTTTGTTTTCATTAGTTTGGGGCAAATTTGAACATGGAGCGTCACAGGTAAATAGTGTTAATTGTTAAATAGTGCCTGATGGAGCTGCTCCGGTTGTTCCGCTGTGCGCTCAGGAGCTGCGCTGATGCCGTGTGTTCATGCTGTGACTAGAGCCTCTTAGTGTAGTTTTGCTGACGTTGTTGGGGCTGGGTGTGAGCAGTGGATCAGGTTGTGCTGCTGCGTAAACTTGGGTAAACTTGCGTAAAGCTGCGCTTGGCTGTGCGTTGTGCTCTGATAGTTCAACCAATAGTGACCAAAATGAAAATGTCTTTTTCTGTTTAATTATAATAGTATATAGCCTATATATAATACATATATTTATAATATATATTTATAATTTTGGCCTTGGCGCCTCCCCAAAACCACCAGCCACCCCTGGATGCTCAGCTTTTTGTGTTGAGTTGGTGTGTTGTCATTTTCAGTTTCACTATTAGGCCCATTCTGCAGTTTGTCAATGCAGATGTTTTTATTTTGAATGAGCTTTTGGGCTACATGGGAATTAGCACAGGAATTGACAGCACTCTGCAGCCCGCGATGAAACAAAGCAAAAAATAAACGACGCAGTGCATGGCTGCCAATCTGAGCCATCGGCCCCTCTGACCCCCATCATTCACCCACACACATCACTTTCATACTAAACAATGTAGGCGTGTAAGTGTCTTGCCTAAAGTGCAAGTGCCTTGCTCTAAACATGGAGCCAACTCCACACATAAAGGTCCAGCAGTCGAACCCAGAACCTTCTTCCTGTGAAGTATCAGATTTAGCCTCTTGGTCACAGTGCCACTCGCCAAATTAAATGCAGCAAGGAGAAAATGTTGAACGGAAACTATGCGGACAGTGGCAGTACTTCAGGCCAAGAGCTTCACCAAACACTTGGGAGAGACAGAAGATATTTAGGGAGGTCACGGTGGCCAGGCACTTTATGCCAAACCTGTGGCTTGAACATTTTCAGGTGAGCGAAGCACCTTCTGAAATGTTGTGAGGCACCAGTGGATCATATGTGGGACCCACTGTGGCTGGACAAGCTTCGGGGCCAACAAATAAGCACATCACAATTGGCCTTTACAAGTTGGCTTCTGCAGTTTACAGGATCATAGGGGAACTGTTTGGATTCAGCAAAACCAAAGTACACCATTGAGTCTATGCCTTTTGCAAGGGACTTTATGATTTTCTTTTCACACAGTGTTGCTGCCCTGCCCCCACTGGGATGATCAGACCACAGTCTTTTCCTGTTAACACCTCAGTATGTCCCTGCAATGAAGACCCTGTCACCACGAGGACTGTAAGGAAGTGGAGTCAGGAAGCCAGCCATGACCTTCAGGAGCTTTGAGACCACAGACTGGGATGAACTCTGCCAGCTCAATGAAGACAACATCGACAGCATGACGGACTGTAAAACAGATAACATCACCGTCTGTGAAGATACAGTCGTCCCCACACACACTGTCCACTGTTACTCCAACAACAAACCCTGGATCACCGACCAGCTGAAAGATCTACTTAATAAGAAGAAGCCTTCAACTCTGGAGACAAGGACAAGGTGAAGAGGAGGCAACGACAGCTGAAGGTCCAGCTCAGACAGGGTCTGGAGGCCTATGGCAGGAAGTTGGAGGTAAAACTCCAACAGAACAACACCATGTGGAGGGAGATGAAGACCATCACAGGTTTGAACCCCAAAACAAAGCAGCAGGACAACAGCCCAAAATCTACTCAATTTGCATTTTAAATGTTTTTTTTTAATCTCCTGGACCCTCATCTCTTCACCTTCCAGATGCCCAATCCACACCTACCCCCACCCCATCACCTCTGCCCCCACCCCCACAGAGGAACCCAGTCCAGTGTCTTTGTTACTTGCCCAGGTGAAAAAACATCTGGAGAAAGTGCATCAAACCAAGTCTCCTGGACCAGACCAAGTCAACCCCCGTGTGCTGAGGCCATGTGCAGCTCAGCTCACTGGGATCTGCACTTTCTGTTCACCCTGAGTCTGAAGCTTGAAAAGATCCTGGTGCTGTGGAAGACCTCCTGCATTGTGCCAGTGCCCAAGAAGCCTATTCCATCTGGACTTAATGACTTCAGACCAGTTGCTTTGACATCTCATATCATGAAAGTGTTTGAGAGATTTGTTCTGGTTCAGCTCAGACCCCTGGTGGCATCATCCCTGGATCCTCTACAATTTCCATTCATTTTCTTATGCTTTATCTGGGGCCAGGTCACAGACACAGCAGTCTGAGCAGGGAGGCCCAGACTTCCCTTTCCACACACACTTCCTCTAGCTCCACGAATCCCGAGGCATTCCCAGGCCAGCCAAAAGACATAGTCCCTCTACTGTGTTCTGGGTCTTCCTCAGGGTCTCCTTCCAGTGGGACATGAAAACCTCCCCAAAGAAGTGTCCAGGAGACATCAGGAACAGATGCTCTCCCCTTCATCCCAGCCGCTTCACACAGGTCAAACTGCCCCAGTGCTGTAGGTCCTGGTCTGATGAAGCCAACAGGACAACATCATCTGCAAACAGCAGAGATGATCCTGTGGTCCCCAAACCAAACCCCCTCTGGCCCCTGACTGCACCTAGAAACTCTGTCCATAAAAACAATGAACAGAACCGGTGACAGGGGCGGCACTGGTGGAGTCCAACATGCACTGGGAACAGGTCTGACTTACTGCCAACAGTGAACACAGACCCAGACTCACAGAGCACCCCCCACAGGACACCACAAGGGACACAGTCGAACATCTTCTCCAAATCCACAAAGCACATCTGGACTGGTTGGGCAAACTCCCATGAACCCTCGAGCACCTGATGGAGAGAGTAGAGTTGATCTTCCTCCAGGATCTGAGTTCTCTGGATTCTCCTCTCCAGTCCCTGGCATAGACTGGGGAGGCTGAGGAGTGTGATTCTCCTGTAGTTGGAACACACTCTCCAGTCCCCCTTCTTATACCACAACCCCGGTCTGCCAGTACAGAGGCATTGTCACCAACCGCCACATGATGTTGCAAAGATGTGTCAGACTCCCAACATCCAGAGACTTAAGATCCTCAAGACCGAT